TAAAGTTTTAATTTAGCCATTATTTCTGGAGTGCTTTTGGAGAATCTGTTTTAGATTACGTAACATTTCTCATGGTAAAAATATGGGCGTTACAACTTTGGCCAGTGTGCCGTATCTCATATGTTTGAGTTTTTGATAACTTCTACCACAATTCACTTTTCTTTCAAATTCTTGCCATAAAACCGTAAAATGCACCTTAAATCTATCGAACAACAAGCGTCTAATATCTCATCTAAATCCTTAGTATCAAATCTTTCATGGATTCATTGAATATTTATTGGATTCTTACATTTAAAATATCCTCATATCTATTATCTCAGGATGCATGCGTTTCCTCAAAAGATTCAATCAAGGGGCTAGAGATGTCACCCTCCAACTCAGATGGACAAATTATATCTTGACACATGCTAATACTACCATGTGATATATGACATGTTCAATTGTCATTTTGTCACCCAGTTACAAAGTGATTATACCTGTAAACATGTCCCTCACACATAACAAACTTCATGTTCTTAAGTCAAATAAATATATATATATAATGACCACGTGAGAGACATCTATGACACTCATATAACATCCAATATATTGTTCTCATAATTAGTCACCTCTGATACACAAGATCCCTACTTTATATCTATTCCATATATCTAAATGAATCCAACATATACTAGTTGTCATATTACTTCAACCTAGGCCCAAAATAATAAGTGACGTCTAGCAGCAACTAAAAACTTGTTTAAACCCGATATTCTAGTCCAGGCTTATAGGATTTTTACATACTACCTAATCTCGGTCGTTAAAACCTATGGATTTTGAGTTGCATGAATCATTAGGAAAAAGAAGTTGTTTACAAATAAATTAAGTATCATCATTCAATCGAAGATTTTTCTATCGCAACTTTTTCTGACTACATAATCAATCAACTTATTTTTGCATCGCCGTCAATCACAAAATATTTGTTATGCATGACTCAGTATTGTCACAAATTATGAAGAATATCAATACCAAAAACTATATAAAAAGTTCATGATCAAGAGCATATCTAGAACATTATGAACAACAACAAAACAAAATTTTGAAGAACATAAAGTACACAATTATGTACAACATCAAGAACATTTTATTTCAAAATTTTATGTACAAAATCATGAATCAAATTTCTAAATGGAAAACATCAAACTCTAAAGTGAAACTAGAACAAAATCCTAATTTGAAAACCCTAAAATTGTAGTGTTGTAAGGAGAGAACACCGCCACCGTAGTTGAAAGGGCACCACGTCCACTGTATCAATAAAGAACACCACCACCACCACCATTAGGGGTGAGCATAGGCGGGTACCCGTCCTTTTTGACAGGAACCGGAACCGGAACCGGCGGTTCTTGAGATATTGGAACCGGAACCGGTTAGAGCGGTTCTTAAATTTTTGGAACCGGAACTGGAACCGGTTCCGGTTCCGGGTACCCGCTTACTAAAATATTAAAATTTTGTTATTTAGAAATAAAAAATAAAACGTTGCCTAAACATTAAATAAATAAGCAAGAATACAAATTATATATAATAATGGTTACAAATATTGTTTAACGATTACAAACTATAATAGACTAATAAAAAATGTTCAAAGTTTAACGATTACATACTATAATGGTAAATTTTCAGAGTTTAACAATTACATACTATGAATCCAAGTGAACACACAATTTAAAAAAATACGAATCATTCTATATGAAGAATTTAGATGAAGAATGAAGATGACGGCATGCTTTCAAGATGTAAACCTAATATAAATTTGGTATTAAAAAATAATAATAATTTTTTATTTAAAAATACCGGGTACCCGACGGTTAACGGTTCCGAAAAATTGAGAACCGGAACCGGAACCAGAACCATTCTCAATCGGTTCCGTATTTTAGGAACCGGAACCGGAACCACTCATATCGGTTCCGGTTCCAGAACCGGCGGTTCCGGTTCCATAGCCGGGTACCCGGTTCCGCTGCTCACCCCTAACCACCATTGAGACACCACTGCTGCCGCCAAATCAAATGAAAAAAAAATGCATTTCACCCACCAAGTCATTAAAGAACAACACTACTACCACCACCAGTTACCAAAAACACCCCATCATATCCTTCCTTACAATGTTGGTGATAGAGAAATCGAGATGAAGATGTTGATCTTAATCTCATCCTAAATCGATGATGGAGAAATAGAGATAGGATGAGGCGGTGACGGTCATCTGAATCGGATATATATCAAGATGAGATGGTAGAGGTTTTCGTTTTGAAAAGCAGGGAGGGGATGATTTTTGACTTTATGGTTTGGGTTTGTTTTGGTCTTTGGATTCTTTTTTTCTGAACTTCATATTACAAATGTTTGTACACATATTTAATAACTTGTATATTGAAATAGTAACATGAATGTGACTAACACGTAAGGACAATTAAGGGGATGTTTGTTTACCTCTTAATGGTGCCATTAAGAGGTAAAGCTCTAAGTTGGTTAGAAATAAGATTGTTTGGCATGTATTCTTTAAAAGGTCTAATTCTAAGGACTCATTAGACTCTTCAAACTCTTAACCTCTCCTTGATTCTCTCTTCAAACTCTCGATTCCTCCACGTTGCCTTTTCCTTTGATTCCTCTTGGATTCTATCCTCAACTCTCGATTTTGGTAGCCTTTTCCTTCACAAACGCACCATCAGTCTCGTTGTTTCTTCACCACACTAGGTACGAGGATAGGGTCACCATTCTCGCTGTTTCTTCGCCGCAGCAGACATGTCTGCACCCCCTGTCTTTGCCGATTCAAAGAGGGTTTCCCCCTAAATTGGCACCTTTGATTTACTATTGTTCAAGCTACAACTTCTTTTCTTACATTTGGAACTTCCCAAAATAAATGTGAACATCTGTCTTTTTTTTTTCTTTTTCTTATGATTGCAAGACATACAGTGTGTCAATAAGCAAAAGATACAATGTGTCAATAGGACCATAAAGAATGAAAAATTAAACTGATGAGGCCAAATTTGAGCATACATCTCCTACAACAAAGGGAAGATGCCATCCTAAATTAATAGGACCATAAAGACTAATCAACAAGAATGAATCCTAACGCAAAGGGTATTTGGCGTTTAAAACAACTTGATTACTAGATCTTGGCTTCCAGAGCAAGTAGTACATATATGGTGATAAGATCTCAAAATTTTGTTATTGGAGTTGATGAGTTGCAAAATGACACTGATGGTGGCAGCTCAAGTGTTCTTATTACAGTTCAAGTTACAAAATTAAGTAGATTTCTATATGTTATAAGCTTTGTATCCATCAATCAACCGGTATACATGTAATGTTTGATTTCATATTGATTAGAAACTTTCCCTTGAGGAAAAAAAGAGCAAACTACATATAATTTTTGAATTCAGACCTCACAATTCTGTTAGTTTTCATTACACACAAGATTAGGATAATATGGTAATTTTTATGTCAGTTAGACTGTTGATTCAGAACAATTTTCAAACAGTTATTTTCTATCTGATAATAAATCATACAAAATCTCTTAAACATTTTAACCGTTTAACCATTCTACACTAAATCATTCGACTTGTGTCAAATAACCCCTAAATAGTCAATTTTGTAGTTTACCTTTTAATAAATTAATAAAATAAGATATTAAATTGAAAGGAGTGCATAATTGTGATATGACTTGAAAGCCAATTAAAAAAAATGTGACATGTCTCGTTGCAAATTCAAGATCCAACCACGTGTGGTGGCATGGTGCGTTTTTGGCGAGGCACTTCGTCCAAAGTCAAAGCCACAGCCAAACGGCGACGTATTATCTCATGTAAAGGTACAGTAGACTGTAGTCTCTCTCTCCCCTATATATGTACTCGATCTCTCCTCCAAGAGTTTAGAATCTTCTCTCTCTAAAATGCTGTGTTTCAGGTTCAGGATGCTTCTCCCACTCCTCCTCCTTTCTCTTCTTGTTGCCTCTTTTTCTCCGACGACGAGTCTCCGCCTGACGGACCCAAAGTTCCCATCAACTCAGGCTAGGAAGCTGATCAGAGGCCTCAATTTGTTCCCAAAACACTCCATCAACATTGTCGATCGCGATGTTGCTAACCGGTCTTCTATTGTTCGTCCGAAGATAGTCGAGAAGCCTTTTAAATTCCCCAATTTCGTCGATTCCGGTAGCGCGTCGGTTGAAGAATTAGGTCATCATGCTGGTTATTACCAGATTGAACACTCTTATGATGCTCAGTATATTCGCAAAACCCTATATTACTCTTATTATTGTTACACTGTTTACAATTTCGTGATTAAACTTGACTCGACTGTTCTGAAACCTACAGTTTTGGAAGGTTTGCTGATATCATTAATGTTGGGAAACCTTGTTTTTTTCTTTATTTGGTAATTTAGCATACTTAGATTTTAGAAACACATTTTGCTGTCTTAAACCCTAATTATATTTTTTTAATTTCTAAAGTTTAAGACATCGTGATAAAAGTTGGGGGAAATCATATGTATCAAGTTGATTTTACACGCTCGCACCTTTACCTCCTTTTGCTGTTTTTGTTTGTAAATGCTATGTGGAAAGGCCGATAGTAACGATGTTCTACGCACGGATATGGGGGATTCATTTCTGAAATTAGTAGTAAGGCTGATATTTCTTTCTTGTGAACGGCGTTGAAAAGCTATTGCGGATATCAAGTAACTTGTAAAGAGAGTGAATGCATAACTGATGTTTGTTACTTCTTCGTGACTGTAATAGATAAATGCCACTGTATCGCCAACTCAAGTAGCATATCAACTAACCCTGCCCCCTGAAGAACTAGAATTGGCACCTCAAGATGTCATGAACATTAATGGTGTTTAACTAGATTATTATGGGTCTGGTATCACTGTATGTACTGTCGAATGACCATCACATGTGCTCCCACCAGTTCGCAGATATAGACTTGGACTCAGTAATGACTAGTAAACGCTGTTAAATCACGTGAATTTGTTCAGTTGGCTCTATTTGTGGTTATACTTCATTCATTAATTCTGTAGTTTCTTTGTCATACATGTACATCATTTGGCGTGTTTACTACTTTTAGAAAGGGTTGATATCTTCATTTCTACCATTTTCATTAGAATCTAAAAATATCTTTGGGTTCTGTGTAGGATGTTTTACTTTTACTTCAAATCACGGAACAGCGAAAATGACCCTGTTGTTATCTGGCTGACCGGAGGACCAGGTTGTAGCAGTGAGCTTGCTCTTTTCTATGAAAATGGTCCTTTCAAGATTGGAAAGAACTTAACTCTTGTCTGGAACGAGTATGGGTGGGACCAGGTTTGTTTCTTGGTCAAATATTAGTTGTCATACTTAGAAAGTGGATGAGAATAGCAAATCACATTATCTCTCTCATATTACATATTTGATCAAATACTTTTCTTTCTTTCAGGACTAAAGTTTTCTTGATATTATCAAATAATTTGTTATACATCACTTTATTCGTACATTTGTATATTACTATGGTTAATTGGTTATTGAAGTTCAATAAGCAACTTGACAAATGTAGCCGTTCTTGAAGTTCATTTAATGTGTACCATTGAAGATACATGCTTAATAGTGTAGCCATTATCACAATGCTTGATATTGGTTGGTGGGTGGTTTTTTGTAAAAATGTCCTACTAGTGCTTTTTGTGGATGATTTGATTGTTCAATATTGGATTGCTCTTGTACATTTCCTTTTATGACAATGGAGTTGAATTTTGATGCTTTTTTCTAATGTTTATTTTTCTTATTTGTCGTATGTTGTACAAAACAATAATATATCTGTGTAAACTCAGGCAGCAAACCTGTTGTATGTTGACCAACCTACTGGGACCGGCTTTAGTTATAGCTCTGATAAAAGAGACATTCGCCATGATGAAAAGGGTGTTAGTGATGATCTATACGACTTCTTACAGGTCTGTTGCTTTCCTCTCTTGCTTATGTATGTGATTATGTAAATAATAAATATTCTTTAAAAGACTGGTAGCAATGATCTTTTGTTCAATGATCAATTTGCCATAGGTCTTTGGCTATCATAGTAGTTGTAGGCTTTAGCTGAAGAGTGGGTCTTCTATGCACTGTCGGTGTAACTTCTTTTTGCGCATTTGATTTCAAGATCATGGCAATTGTTCCATGATATACTATTGAATGATGGATAACTCAGGATCATCTTAATTGTACACATGATCGGTCACTTGTCACTAGAGAGCTGCTCGTGTAAACTTTTCTCTACATTGACAATGTATAGAAAACAGTATGTTAAAATTAGATGCATGCATGATACCTTAATGACTACTGCTTGATTATTTTTTTCTTTGCTTCATGGTCTGAAATGTGAATCATGAGTTCTTAGGCCTTAGCTAGTGCATTTTATAGCCTTTCCTTTAGAAGTATGTTTTTATGGTTAAAGACTTCATTTTGTGATTTTGAATTGTTGCTGTCTGGGATATTAACAGCTACTACTACAACATTTAAGATCTTTTTTTGCTTTTTATATGAAGAATGCCTCCTGCGCTCTATAGACCAATGGAAAACTTGAAGTTTGACAAATTTAAATGGTGATTTTTAATCATGGAGCGCATCGAAAGCAACATTTCTTTCCATGAATCTTGAACTCTTGACTCAACCAGTCAGCTATCTTGTAGCAACTCCTGACCTTGTATGTACTGGTACTTCTAGTTAGGGCACCTGGTGCTTTTCCTTCACCTTCGTTGATTGATAGTATTGCCATCATATTCAGCTTCTCCTAGGTTTGCCCCGGATACAATATACGTTCTTTTGTTCTCCAAGTTGTGCTCATGGCATAATATCTCATGCTTCCACATTCAACTGTGCAGTCACAATTGGCAGCTGTCCCTGCCCAACCCAGTGTGATAATTTTTGGACTTTAACATTTCCAAGGGCTAGGAAGAATAATCTTCAACACATGCATCTTTTTCGAAATTAAGATTAGATCAGTCTGTTTTTGCAAATCTTGAGCATGCAATAAGAGAGAGTTGAGTTTGTTGCTTCATCTGCTGTTCATATATTTCGATGCTATTGTGAATTTTGTTATGTTTCAGTCCTTCTTCACAGAGCATCCTGAACTCGTAAATAATGACTTCTATATTACTGGAGAATCATACGCCGGCCATTACATTCCAGCTGTTGCTGCTCGAGTCCACCAAGGAAACAAAGATAAGGAAGGAATACACATAAACCTGAAGGTATCTGTATGTGTTTTAAGCACATTGGTTTTCTCAATTGACTTGATGTACTTACTTTATGTGTTGTTATACAGGGATTTGCCATTGGTAATGGGCTCACTGATCCAGCAATTCAGTACAAGGCTTATACAGATTATGCGTTGGACATGGGGATAATTAGCGAGTCTCAATACAAACGCATCAACTTGATAGTTCCAGTGTGTGAAGCAGCAATAAAGCTTTGTGGTAATGTTGCCTCTCTCTCACACAGACATACAGTGATGCCTGCGCTAGCAAATCATCGGGTTATGTGGGGAGCTTTTTCTGCTAATTTGTTGCATGTGACCTTTAACCATATATGTGCATCGTCATCAATGCGAGATGCATATCTAGTATTGCTGTTGGCTGTTCCTCCTATGCTAGTTGATATAATTCTTTTGCTACTCCCTTTGTAGGCACTGATGGAACAGTCTCTTGTACGGCAGCATACTTGGTTTGCAACATCATTTTCATTGCCATCACTAACATCGCTGGCAATATCAACGTAAGGAAATCTGATTCTTTGTTGTATAGACTTTGAATAGTGGAACGCCTTAACAACTCTATTTGAAAGAAATACCATGCGTATGAGTGTTGCCAAAAAGAAAAGAGCACAATCTAAGTTAACATGTTTTTTATTTGGTTCAGTACTATGACATTAGAAAGGAGTGTGTGGGCAGCCTCTGCTATGACTTCTCGGACATGGAGACACTCCTAAACGAAAGATCTGTTAGGCAAGCTCTTGGAGTTGGAGATATAGAATTTGTTTCATGTAGCACTAGTGTGTACTTTGCTTTGCTTATGGACTGGATGAAAAATCTTGAAGTCGGCATTCCTGCTCTCCTTGATGATGGAATTAAGATGCTCATATATGCTGGAGAATACGACCTCATCTGCAACTGGCTTGGTTAGTTTTCACCATTTCTCAACTCAAATATATGTTTTCTGATCGTATCTAGTACATCATGATTTTGTTTAAATCACAATGAGAGTAGGTAATTCAAGATGGGTTCATGCTATGGAATGGAGTGGTACGAAAGAGTTTGGTGCTGCTTCTGAAGTTCCTTTTGAAGTATCTGGATCTGAAGCAGGCTTACTCAAAAGCTATGGTCCACTCAGTTTCCTCAAGGTATCATTCAGACTTCCAAATCTTTGAATCGTGTGAAAGTATTGACATATATTTTTGGGTGTGTGCTAGGTTCATGATGCTGGTCATATGGTTCCTATGGATCAGCCTGCGGCTGCTCTGGAGATGTTAAAGAGGTGGACCGAGGGCTCACTTTCTGAAACTGCAATGGAGCCTAAATCTTTGGTTTCCTCCATATAATGGCATGATCAGGTCCGTTGTTTGTAAATACCCCCCTCGGAACTTTCTATGCTTTCACCAGTCTGGTTGCATTGCACTTTAGGAGGAGAGTACAACAGAACACAGTAAGCAAACCATTTTAGGTGGTTCCTTTGTTCCAAGGATTGCAAATGCAGTGTTGGTTTGATTTGATTGATGCTATCTTTCCATTATCCATGGTATGATAATCAAATGTACCACGGGTCTCAAATACTTCATCTTACTTTGGCTTTTTGTTTAGATTCATCTTTTTATGATACGTAAAGAACGGAAGAGAAATTATAAAGAAAAAAACACACGAAATTAAGTTCCCCGAAAAAGGAATGGACGTCCACTTTGTCTTTTTCATCATACACGAACATAAGATTTGTAATTGGTTGCTGAAGTGAGTCTTGTTATTTAAGTGTAAACCGTTCATGGGGTGAATTTTAAGGTTCAAATAACAAAGGCAAATATGTGGGGAACATAGCCATAAATAATCTATACTATATTATAAAGCATTTGACAAAAACTATTAAAAACTATTTTTATATATAAAGTACTGTTTATTGATGCATATTACTTAAAATTCAAAATTACAAGTAAATTGTGCGTATGTATAACTTATTAAAGCTTTATGTGTTGAATTTATGTAACTAACTGTAAATAAACATAATCAAATATAAGATAAAATTTTTATTTTAAATATAAAAAATTTAAAATATAATTAGGATAATCATTTAGTTTTAACAAAATACTTAATAATTATTTTTATAAAAAAATTATATTAATAAATCAAAAAAAATGAGCTAAAGCAATACATAGAAAAAAGAGAAAATTTAAATAGTTAGTTTTGTAATAATATCAATATTTTTTTCAATTTTTTATGATATATTAATATTTATATTTTATTCAAAAATAAAACATTATTATTTTCTCAAAACGATATAAACCTTATTGTAACACCGACTGAACAAAAAAAATGAAATATTAAGATTGAGATATATCTCGTTACATTGTGTAAGTATCCTTCTAGTTTATATAAAAAAATACATCTGAATATCATAAGATGTATTTTAACTTATCAATTAGTCGCATATGAAGATGCATTTTGTAAACCCACAATTCCTTTTACTAATAATTAACATAGGAAAAGCGTTCATCGGTAACAGTCAACATTCCCACTTACTTTATTCAGTAAAATTCTAGTCCATGGAAACAACATACTTATCCGGTAAGTGTTAACCGGGTAAGAGTTATTACCTTCATTTATGGGTAAAACTTTTGATCCTTGGCAACTTGTCATCAGTCTTACTTGGTAAGATTTTGATTGCACTTGTTGCATAAAGATTATGGGTTCTTGATACATTTATCTGGTTTGGTAAGTGACCTATAAGACTTGGTAAACACAAGTTAACAATCAATAAAATACCTATTATAAATCAAACATATTCACGTGGTGTTTGTTTTCTTAATAGGTGCTGAAGTCTGAAATCTTATTACATTTCTGATTTATAAGAGATGATGTTGAAATCTGAAATCTAAATCAATAAGACTGTTTGTTTTTGTAAACTGATAAACGTCTAAACTTGTTTAAATTGTCTATTTTATTCATTAAAAAATCACAGTGTTGAATTTTTTTTTTTTTTTTTTTAAGGGTGTCCGGGCCAAAGCCCGACTAATTCCCGGCAAATTTGGAGGCTAAACATGGCCTCACTTAAATGTCGCCAACACTCCCCTCCCAGGGCTCGAACTCGGGTTCATGACTATGTCATGCCTAAGCCTTTACCACTAGGCTGAAAGGTCTTTGACCACAGTGTTGAATTTTATAGACAAAATTATACAATTTCACATATATTCATCATTATTATGAAATTTACATCTAAATCATATAATTAGCATTCATTTAAAAGAAAATATGTAGTTAACAGTATTTAACACATTTAGATCCTATTAAAATACATCAATTGATAGAGGTACTGATTGATTTGGTAAGGATCGATTGAGAAAAATGATTGGTTGAAGAACAATAAGAGACAAATAAGAGGTTGGTTTACCTCTTACCACATAAGAGGACAATGTCGATTCCTCTGTTTTCGATAATGATGTGACAATACTATGATTTTATTGTGATTACAATGTGATAATGTTTTCATAAGTCAAAGATTTTTTAATATGTGATTTCACCAAACACAAAAGTTCCCATAAACTATCAAATGATTATAATTAGGTGTATATTGGTTCATATGTGAACTGTGAATCCGAAGATATGTTCACATGTGAATCTTAATCATAACTTGTATGCGAATGATATGTATTGATTATTCAATGCATGAACGTTCAATTTTTCTCTTATATGATGGCTTATTTTATTTTTATGTCCCAATGTTGAGTCATTTATAATCTTATTTTTTATATTTTATGTCATGAAGCTAAATGTTGTGATTTTACCTGTTTTATTCCAATTGAAGGCTAATTTCACCCTTTAGACAAAATGTTTGCACTCTCAACATTTCCACAGCATTGATCTATTTGTCTATGTGGTTCTTTTTTTGAGACCTTATTGCATTTAGCCGTGGAACATGCATGAATTTAGACTTTTTGTTACTTAAAGATCAAGAACCGATGACCTTTTAGTCTTAGGAGGATCAGGGTGGTTAAGTTTGTTGTACTTTTTAACCAAACTTTGTCCCTAAATTTCCTTTAATTTACATTTTGCCCCTTCTAGTAGCAATATAAATAGAGGTGTTGGGTTGTAATCTAGATAGTAGATCGAATCAACTCTAAACTGACTCTACTTTATATTTTCAAGTGTTTTAGTTTATGTTCTTACTTTAATATAATTTTAATAATTTTCTTCAAACTCCGAATTTTATTTTCCATTTCTGCAACATTTCAACAGCACTGGTGCTGTATTTACTTTATTATGCTTACCGTCTTTACATTTCACTATTTAATTCCAATTACTACTTTTAGTCATTTAATTAAATGCACTTATTTTCTATTATAATTTTTTTTTATGCAATTACTTTCTGTAATGAGTAGCTAATTCTCTTAAGCTTGGATGTGAGACAAATAGTGAGATTTTGAACCAAAGGAAAGTCGACATTGTTTCTCATTAATAATGTTCCATTATTTCATTTCATGTTTTATAAAAAAAACAATGACACTTCTTGACAAGCAATCACTTTGAAGAGTCTTAAAGTGTCGTGGACTTAGAGATAAGCCACTTGAATGTATGCCAATTTAAATGATATGAGAAGTATACTTGATGGAGTTGTTAACAAAGAGATTTGCTTTCTATGTTTTTCAAATTGATAAATTATTGACAGATTGTCACTGATCAAAGTGTTAAATGTAGGGGACTTAGAGGTGGGTCACTTGGAACACATCAAATTGGATGATATGGGAATTGACTCGAGAGAGTGTTTTTTAAACAAAGATATTTATTTATCAATATATTTTGGAGACACCATTTGACACTACTAATAGTTCTGATACTACATAAAGGTACGTTGGTTAAAAGTTAACCATTTGACACTATCAAGTTTTGGCACCATTGTCGGGGATTGACAAATTAAAAGTTTTTTTCAAGTAAAGTGAAAAGATTTGATTTTTTCTAACACCATTGTAATCACTGGGGTGTGATATATGCCAAGAATACACTGCAGAGAGATTTTTGAGTTCAATCCCCATATTGAGAGAACCTTTTGTCAAAGGAGGGTGCAAAGAGCATGATTTGCTTTAACCCCTCCTAATATGACGTTACCTCCCTCACATCTTTAAAAAAAACCTGTCGCCTCCACTGTCACCATCACCTTTTGAAAATTTACCAATATCACATTTTCAACCTTTTCAACAACCACGTAATAATGATGGAAATGATGATACAAAATCTAAGGACATTAATCATCCAAGGGTTTAAGCTCCAAAAATAATTAATCTTGTACATTCTAAAGAGGGAATAATCATGGATTATGCTATCCCCGACTTTGATTAGCTGAATTCAGGGATAGGTAAAAAATATAAGCCCTTACTTTTAAGCGAAAACCACTATTCGAAAAGACTCGTTGCAACAACCGCCATGACACTACCAATGTTTTTTATACTATATAGGATACTTCTCAAAAATAGATGAAGGAACTAGTTATTGTCAACTATATGCTGAAAGCATTTGCACAACACTGGTCTGCTGGAATTTGTGTTTATGTTTCACCACAAGTCTTACACCCATGCTACTTTCTTAATTATGTTATTTCAGTAGTATTAATCCAATCCACAAAAGATTTCTTCAAATCCGTCATCTGAAAACATTTCTTTTATTAGACTTTCATTAAGCTTTTCCAATCTTTGTGAATGATAATTGGTAATTTACAACTTTATTACTTGAAAGACAATATTGGGCCATTATTTATCTTGCTTTTGGTTCTAATTATCACATGTCTGAATGTGTGTAAAAAGCACTATCGGTGAATCAATTTAATTTTGATTTGATTTAAGATTCATATGTGAACATGTGAATCTTAATTGTAATTTGTACGTGAATCAATTTACAACTTATGATCGAGATGTTGAATCAGTTTAAGATTCACAAGTCAATTTACAACTTATAATCGAGATTCTAAATTAATTTAAGATTCATATGTCAATTTACAACTTATAACGAGATTCTGGATCATTTAGGTCATCATTGCATAAATTGAAGATTGAACCACAAATAAAACCCCAAACTTGTGATAATCATGCGAAACAGAAATCACCCAAATTATAACATTTACTGGAAATATCAAACAAATTAAACATTGAGACAAGTAATAAAATGATTAAAATTAATCATGGGGTAAACGAATGAAGTCGAGGAAATGCAGAGGATACCAAAGAGAGGCTGTTGGTACCGAAGTAAATGCCAAATGATAACACCATCAAATTGAAGGATTCTGCAGAATTACATTCCCTTGAACTATTGTGGTTGGAATCTATATCTATAACACAACATTAAAGTAGGGAAAGAAAGACATCAAAGTATAGTGAAACAGTTGGTAGAGTTCAGATAGAGATTGAAAAAACCGAAGTAAAACCTTGAGACGAATAGCTTGAGAAAATGTAAAAGGTTAATATTAGTGAAAAATTAATGATGAAAAAGAAAAGAGAGATGGGGTGGGGAGGGGAGGGGAGGGGAGAAAATAAAATAGAGCATAAATTATGGAGGGATTAAGATTTTACTTTATATATATATATATATATATATATATATATATATAGGTGGGTTATTATACAACCCCTTACATTTGTATAACCAATACAACCCAATCTCAACCGTCCATTTAATTTGATGAATATGTAATTTCATAGAAGTTTTAATTGTTTCCTAATATAAAGTATTAATCATAATTAATGAACCGT